CGTCAGTGTCTGAGGTCAGTGGTAAAATCCTTTGGCAGCCTCCACTCTGATGAGGAATTCAAGCTGTGACCAACCCACGATGCTAATCGATGCTGCTGCTTACTTTTAGGGTGACTGTACAACACATTGTACTGAAACTGAGGGTGCCTCCAAGTTGGAGAGCACTTGCAACTTCTGCCTTGTTAGGTTGATGTAGAAGTACTGCTTTGTAACCTAAAAAATCTGAAAAAAGTCTTGTGTGAAAAAATAGATTATTACAATTAGGATCTATTTTAATGATTCATCATTAAGATGCTGTTGCTTTATTTCTGCACAGATAGAGATCTCTATAAGAGAATCACAGTATTTCTTACCACGTAGAGTTCACAGTCTCTGTTAGAAAAAACATATAGAAAATAATTTAAATTTAATATGCTTTAGAATTGTAGCTAATGTTCTAAGTGGCTTTGGTTGGGAGAATTTTTATGGCAGTGGTGGTTTGGCTACCACAGTGTTGATAGGTAAGAGGGACCAAACCAGAAGGAAATGCAGATAACCTGGTTTCTACCCATAGTTGTATTGCCTTTCCAAATCTTTCATATTCATAATGCTGAAAGTCAAACTAATAAGAAAAACTATTTTCTTCCTAATTTTAAGTTATTGTCAGTAGCTACTACACTGTTTATTTTAGGTGCAGGGCTTTATGCCTTTGGTCAGTATTCTGTCCCCAGTGCTGGCTCATAACATTTACATCTCTCTTTTTCAAGTACATATTGTATGATAACACTCTTGTACAGGGCAATTAGACACTGTCGTCCTTAGTGTGTCCATGATCCTTCTTGCCAAGAGTTTGGAGGAGGGAAAAGTGATTGTTTCTGAGACTCTGTCTGTGAATAGAAATTGTTTGGCATATTCATCTAAGACTATCTGCTTATACAGAGCAAGGAGAGCAATCCAGACAGGAGTTCTTAAAAATGAGTAGATAAGTAAGGGGGCAGCATGGACTTAGTAGAGTTGGAACTACAGACTTAACAAATGAGGACTCAGGAAGTGATGATGTAAGAGGGGCAGGCAGTAGTAGTCACAGAGAACATGATTCTTGGTTTTAAAAAGCAAATTATAGGAAAAGATTTCCCCCTTTATGTTTTAAAACCAATAGTTACCATATTAAAATGATAGCTAAGTTGGGAACCTCGTTAAGGAAACAGATTCATCTCTGGTTCTCTGCAAATACTGTTTTCCATACTGCAGTGATAGATTTATTTTGAAGTTCAAAACATTCCTACAAAATGATTGTGAGGCAGAGTGGAGAGAACATCTAAAAGGCTTTGAATCCATAATAGTTACTTGCCAGTCTCCTTGTGATGATGGTGCTGAGCAAGGCTTTCTTTAAAGATGCTGAGTTGTTTTTGAAGCTGAGCAGGTCTGGGTCTGTCTCACCAGTCCTGCAGTCACTGGCTCTTTAGAGAGAGGCTTCAAGTGCTTCACCTAGGGCTGTTGCTCCTGTGACTCTCATGTTCTCTACCAAAATGTACCTGCCGGGGACACTGACAGTGAACGTGGGGCTAACTCTTCCATTCCAGCAGTGTGCATTTGTAGAAGTCTGTCATTTTGTCTATTGAATTGGGAAAATCTGGGTTTTAATCCTGTTCCCTGATGAGATTTTATCTGATGTTATTGTAGGGAAGTCCTTACTCATGAGGGTATGGAATCCAAGACCAACACCTTCCTCAGCATTTAGCAGCAGACTCATAGTAAGAGAAAAGCAAATAGAGAAGGTTGTATTGTCTGCAATTTTATGCACGAGCACACAGTTAAAAGTTAAACATGTAAATGTTTGTAATTTACCACCAAGATTTGACATTTCAGGTTCTTGCAGTGAGTCAACGGTTGGAAAAGAGTGATTGAGACACCTGGTATACATGACTAATGATGCTACTAAATTAAGTTCAGGAACATGACCTGCCCGCTTTGTTAAGCAGGACTAGAGATCTGAGATTGACTGTGGAGTTAGCACATACTTTGAGCACCTATTTGGATGCATAGGTACATCCTGTACAGCGAGGGTTATTCTAGTGCCGCTGTGTATTTAGTACTGTAGGGACAGGCAAGACACGGGGAGGAGGGCATGGTGTGGGGCTTGTTACTGGTTTCAGTGGGCTGGTGAGAGTGTGCGTGTGTGTGCAGGGCTTCATGCCGTGCGGAGGCCAGAATGGATGCTGAGTGTCGTCCTGTAGTGCTCTCCAACTTATATTTTTAAACAGGGTCTCAGTAAACCTGGAGCTTACGATTTCCTCTGGACTGGCAGGCTAACAAATGCCTGGAATCTGCCTGTTGCTCCCCTGCTCAGCATTGTGGTTATAGGCTTGCTCTGATATGCTAGGGTTTTACATTAGTGCTGGAGATTCGATCTCAGATCCTCATGCTTGTAAAGCAAGCAATTAGCCACTGAGTCATATTATCAGCCTACCTGTGGCCCTTTGATAGCCATTTGTGGACATGTGCATGACCCTGCTCCCCCCAAAAAATGAACCCAGTCGACATGCATGTGTCAACATGACAATGCTTTACCTTCTTGTTTCAGTTCCACACCATTAACAGGTGTCCTTTTCATGATTTGTACTGAAATATATTTCTCATTTTTGTGACTTTTGTTGCTTGTGTTGTTTAAAATGACCCCAGTCATACAACCAAATCACCCGCTAATGTTCGAGAAAGATTGTGAAGCTACCTTACAGAGAAAATAATGCATGTTAGATAAGTCTCGTTCAGATAGGTTTTATACTAGTTGCGCATGAGTTCAATGTTGAGTCCATCATATGCATTAGATAAGGTGTTTTTTTTTTTTTATATCAGAAGTGGAGTTCTGGTAGATAAACAGTGTTGTGATCCAGAGGCTGATGGGAACCGTTTTCCCCAGGAACAGGGCTCAGGATGTACTAATTCACTGACTAAAGCGACTAAACCAAACATGAAGACCACAAAGAGAATTAACTATATTTAATTAACAGTGGTGACCTAGAGGGACTTTGGGTATTGTGAGTGTTTTATTATCCCTACTCTGCCTGTAATGTGAAATCTTACTTTACTGTGGGTTCTAGTCAAAAAATGCTAAATGACAATGCTTGATGCATGCAGAAACATGTAATAGATTTTGTTGTTTTATAATTTATTCTGGGTAGTACTTGGGATTAGGTAAAGAAACAATTGTAAATACTTCCCTCCAGTCTGAAGTGGATGCTTGTTTTAAAGTTAATAATCTGTGAACACTGCATTGATTCTGGTGTTAGAGAAGGCAACATCCATGTTTGAGATTACTTCTCTTAGGGTTTTACCATGTGCTTCTTGTAGACTAAGAAGGTGTAGTTTTACAAGTTCACATCTGGACTGAGCCTCAGTTGTCTAATGTTTAGTTAGCAACATTTCGGGTTTGAAAGTTGTAAGGTTTTGCCAGTATAATTTACATTCTCATCATGTCCAGTTGTCAAGGAAATAGTGCAGCATTTGGTAATTGTACAGTATAAAAACATATTAGCTATCAGATTTTATTTTTCTGAGCTCCAGTTAAACCTCATTAGATATTGATAAAAACATAAGTTCTGTATTTTATATATATATATATATATATATATATATATATATATATATATAGAGAGAGAGAGAGAGAGAGAGAGAGAGAGAATTATATACTTCTGCTGGTGTGACATAGGAGAACATTTTAAAATGTTAAACTTGAAATTTTCAATTTAAACACAATAAAATACTGTTCGTTGATGTTTGTATTTTATATAAGTGTTCTCATACATACAAAGCTTTCTCTAAAATGTTGAGAATTAGTTTGTAAAACAAAAATACATTTTTAGAAGCTTAATTTTAACCTTTTCTATATGAAAATTTCAAAGTTCAGGTTCTAGTTTTTTTTAATGTATGTAATGTGAAATTATTTTAGGTAAACTTGAACTTGATCAACTATCAGCAAAAACTCTGCTGCATAATGATCACACCGAAAATGTAACATGAAATATTAGAGCCTGTGCTAACTAAGTAGCAAAAGAAAACATACTTAATGTGTAAAATTTGAGAAATAGGTTTAAAGCATCTGTAATGCTATTGCTTAAGATGCAAGTGTTTTGAAATAACACCATGTAGTCCTTCTGCAATCTGGAAATTATACTGCAGTGTGCACTTGTCATGTAAGTTTTCTCACAGCATAGTAGATACAGACATACATACAAACACCAGGTCCTCAACATACTCTTTAAATGGATCATGGCTTGGACACAAATTCTAGCTGGAGGACTGTTTGACTCTCATTCTCTCTCCCTCTCCCCTGCCTTCCTCTCGGCATCCGTGAGCATCTTCCATGTCATTTTTTCCTTTCCTGTTTCAGGATTACTTCCTTAGGATAGATTGCCAGAAGTGGAGTTACTGGGTCAGAGGGTATGGAGCTAAGAACTTTCTGCTTTTGTACTTTTAATTACAATTTTTAAATTTGTTGTTCAGCTGATTTATATTCATTGTGGAAGATAGAAATCACAGTGATTGTGCTTCGTATCTGAAGGCAAGATTTGTGATCAGAGAAGCTTGGGGAATTGCCAGGTTAATACAGCTTTTTGAAGGAGATTTCCTTCAACATTTCATGAACCCAGCTGGACACTTGATGGGTGGTTTTGTTTTGTTTTTTGTTTGTGTAGATATGTTTAATATTTACTGAATGGTTTATACAGGCTATGGTTTCTGAAATAATGGTTTAAGATTTAAAATTGTTTTATTGGCTAAGTTATATCATACCGATCCAAACAGCTAACTACTAAGCTTTTAGAGGTATATGAAAAAGATTGATAAAGGTCTTTAGTATGAGTTTTTAAAAGTGTTACAGCTTACTTAATTTAAACTTTACTAAAATGTATGTGAATGCTTCCCACAGTCTTTAATTGTACTTAGATGATAGGCATGTGACTCAAAAGTGGATGACAACATAGATTGTACAAATCTTATTTATCCCCCATTTCCTCCTACAGAATGTGAAAACCTTTGCATCTTCTGATAGTCTAGCCAAGGTCCAAGAAGTAGCAAGCTGGCTTTTGGAAATGAATCAGGAACTGCTCTCTGTGGGCAGCAAAAGACGACGAACTGGAGGCTCTCTGAGAGGGAATGCTTCCTCAAGCCAGGTAGATGAGGAACAGATGAATCGCGTGGTAGAGGAGGAACAACAGCAGCAACAGAGACATCAAGAGGCGGAGCACACTGCACGGAATGGTGAACTTGTGGGGGCAGACCCTAGACCTGGAGACCAGAATGACTCCCAGCAAGGGCAAGTGGAAGAGAACAATAACCGCTTCATTTCAGTAGATGAGGACTCTTCCGGAAACCAAGAAGAGCAAGAGGAAGATGAAGAACATGCTGGGGAACAGGAGGAGGAGGAGGAGGAAGAGGAGGAGGAGGAGGAGATGGACCAGGAGAGTGATGATTTTGATCAGTCTGATGACAGTAGCAGAGAAGATGAACATACGCACAATAGCAATGTCACAAACTGTAGTAGTATTGTGGAGCTGCCCATTCACCAGCTCTCTTCCCCATTCTATACAAAGACAACAAAAGTGAGTATCTTCAGTATCCTTTCATCTCACATACTACGTGCTATTTCGGTGTCATGAAATCATTCTTAGAGTCTGTAATATTGCTAACTATCTTCACATGTATAACAACTTTATTAAGTAAGTTTTAGTTTGTTAAAGGCATCAGACAGTATTATAAATTGGAGAGCTGGTAAGAGTGCAATCTGATTGCAAAATGAGGGCAAAAATTGATCTTGCTTTCCACAAAAAATTACCAGCTTCAGATTTGTGTGAGTGTGCAGGGCTGTCGTGAAACATAATGTGTATAAATCAAATAATGGAGAATCTTTTTATTTGCAAAATAGCTAATGTATTCACAGGTGTATTTTCACCAGAGTTACTCTAATGTAAGTTACTGGAAATCATTGAAAATAGTTCTGTTTCATTATTCATAAGTTAACTGGGACTCAGGAATGTCCATGTAGAACATCCTTAGGGGTTAAACTGTTCTGGAGATTGTTTTTGAGTAATAATAGTTCACTTGTTTACAGACTTAAAAACAAACACCATCTATAGTACACATCCTTTTACTCTTTATTTGCTGATTTTTAATTCAACAATGAATCATTGGATTTTACCCATAAATAGTTACAATTTTAACAGCATCTATTTCAATACAGTTTGACTTGGAACAAAGTGTCTGTACATTTGGCTTAAATTTCAGTTTGCTGAATCAGTTTTGTTTTAGTTTGTATAAAACAACAACAACAGCTACTACTACTACTGTGTCAGAGAAAGTGTCTGTCTAATTTCCATAGCCTCCTCCCATGTTATTTTATTTCTTTTGGGGTGTTTTCTATCCCGGTGATGGACAGACCCATTTGAATTAACTCTTAGTTGTAGGGAGTCTCTGTTCTTTACTAGAAAGATACACTCCATTTTCATTACGTTTTGTTTTTATGGAAATGTACAGTTGAATGAAAGAAATGAATAAATAACAAAGAAAGGAGAGGGACTGAAGAGATGGCTCAGAGGTTAAGAGCACTGGCTGCTCTTCCAAATGTCCAGAATTCAATTTCCAACAACCTCATGGTGGCTCACAACCATCTGTAATGAGGTCTGGTGCCCTCTTCTGGTCTGCAAGGCAGACATGCAGGCAGAACAGTGTATACATAATAAATAAATAAATAAATAAATAAATAAATAAATAAATAAATAAATAAATAAATCTTTAAGAAAAAAAAAGAAGAAAAGAAAGGAAAGGACTTGACTGCTCCTAGGAATGGTGGTAGAGAAAGTTTATTGTAGAGAAAAGGGAGAGTATAAGTAGCGGCAGGGACAGGGACATCTGGGAAACTAAGTGAACATGACCAGACTGAGCTGGGCCATGTGGGGAGAGGGTCAGGGAAACCAGGCAAAGCAGCCAGGAGGCCCAAAGCACAAAAGGCGAGTAACCAAAATGTCTGGCTTATATAGTGACAAGCCTCTGGGAGAAGGACAGCCCAGCTCCTGAGCTGGGGAGTTCAGGGTAGAGGGTGGGGTATATGAGTCATACCTTGTAACAGGTAGGGACTGAGAGATGCTGGGAGAACCTGGTGGCCAGGCCCAGCTTTGATGTGTTAAATAGGTACCTCGGCCAGTTGTCCTGAGTTTGAAACCTAACATCAGTAAACAGTGTAGATTAGAAATTCCAGGCCAACCTAATACTAAAAGTCAAGGCTATTGGTAGTCAGGATTTGCTGTTCATTAAATTCCTGTGATAGATGAGAAAATTGAGGTCTATAAGGAGAGCCAGATGGTTCACCCCATACCACACTTGTTTTTAGTTTTTTTTTCATGTTTAGATTTTTCTTGAGAATAGATTTTTTTTCATACAATATATTCTGATGATGCTTCGCCTCCCGCAACTCTCCAACATCTTTCCAACCTCCCCTCCCATCTGAATCGACACCCTTTCTGGCTTTCCATAGAAAACAAACAGGAATCTATAGAAAATAATAAAATAAAACATGATAAAACAAAAACAAATGAACCAGAATAGGACAGAACAAACAAACAAGCAAACAGAAGAAAAAAAAAACAAGCATAGGAAACACATACAGAGGCAGAGACACACATGTTCATACACAGGAATCCCATACAAAACATAGAACTGGAAACATTACACACACATACACATACACATACACACACACACACACACACACACACACACACACACACACACACAAGATATGTGTGGTAAAAAGGAAAAAAAAAAAACCCTGACAAAGCATTATGAGACAAAGAACCTCCAAAGCTAACATTGAATTCATTTGTGTATTTACTGCTGGGCAGGAGACCTTCCCTTAAGAGTACTTTGTTTCCCCAGTGAGACTCTGTTAGAGAAAACTGATTTTTTCATTTGCATGTGGTTATCCATTGCAGATAGCTTCTGGATTAGGGATGAGTGCTTGTCCTCTCAGCTCTGGGACCCCATCTGGCACAAACCTGTGCAGGCCCTGTCCACGTTCTTAACACTAAAAGATTTTATTCTTGATCTGCCCAGTTTCTAAAGACCTTTCTCTTTCCATATGGTATGCTGCCCCCTATGGTAGAATGTAACAAACAGTACCAGAATGTTTTCTAAGTGGGATGAGTTTAGTATTATGAAGCAACCTCGGGTGCTCTTAGAACCACCTGAGAACTCAGACAATTGCTTTTCTTGTGATATTTAATATGACATTATTAAAGATAGGAGGCTGCAAGACTGAAGTTGAAAGAGGAAGAAAGGATCATGAAAAAGAGATTTGAGGCTGGGTACTCTAGAGGCCATCAAATATGCTTCTGAACTAGGACTTCTATGCTAGCTGTTTGTCTCAGTGTAAGTAGTCTTCCCGAAGTTCTAGAGTCAACTTATTTTGACAGTTTTGAGTGTCTGTCTCTTCAGGTTTTCACTGTGTTAACAGCTTATAATATCTTAATTTTTTATTTTCTCAAAAGATTCTTAGCTCATGTTGAATCTTTGACATGAAATTTTTCATACAGATTATTAACTCTTGCTACTGTTTTATTTTTATTAGCTCACTTTCAGATAACATGAAAAGCAAATACCAGACATCAAGTCTTTATCCTTCTGATATTTTTATAAAAATAAGCATGTTTGAGAAGTCATTTCTGATGCTTCCATCCGGAACTTCGTTCCTTATCTCAGATTGTTCTACCCATCTTGATTCTTAGATTTTTTTTCTATTATCTGTTTTTATCCATTTGCCTCCAATAAGAACTAAATATATACATGAATACATATGCAAAGTAGTCTGTTGAATAGATTGTGTCTTTAGGTTCTAAATAGTAGAGGATAAGCAGGGTTTAGTCACAAGTGCTTGTAGTCCTGGGGACCAGAGAGGAGGGCTTTAGACCATAAGTTTGAAGGTGGCCAGGACCAGGATCAAGGTAACAGTTGTGTGGTAGCTCTACTAGAATTGGAACTGCCAGAAAACTTTATAGACTAATGTGGCCAACAGCTGAAACTTAAAGGTAAACTAAGTTAGGCTACTCCCTAGAGAACGACATTTTCCACAGAAAGTCCACGGCCTAGTTTTGCCCATAAGTCTAAAGTTCTGTTAGGCATAGGCCTTTCCAGAAAGCATTTGTCTTATATAACACTTGCTAGGATATATGACCCCTTGAGTGGCTGTGTCCTTGCCTTATAAATGAGAAGAAAAGGAAATGTGGTGGGTGGGGTCTGGCTTAACTTGATTTAGAATGTGGACCAGATGATGGGACAGGGAAAGGGGCAGGCCAGAAGGATGAGATGGGTTCCCTTAACACAAGGAGTGATATAGCTCTTGGGACTTGAGCTTGGGTTCTGACTCTGAAACATAGGCCAGTGTAGTTGGAAGTTTTCCTGTCCTCTTCACCTACTCTCCGTCCTGGTAGCTGCTTCCAAATTATCACACAGAGTCATAATATTATTTATAAATGCTCGGCCAATAGCTTAGGCTTGTTACTAGCTAACTCTTACATTTAAATTAACTCATATTTCTATATATGCTTTGCCATGTGGCTCATGACTTGTGACCTCATTTTTTTATACATCTTGCTTGCTCAGTGGCTGGCTGACATCTCCTCTGACTGCCTTTTCTTCCCAGAGTCTTCTGTTTCTGGCAGTCCCGCCTGTACATCCTGCCTGGCTATTGGCCTGTCAACTTTTTATTAACCAATGAGAGTAATACATATTCAAAGTGTATATAAGGATTATTCCACCACATTTCCCCCCTTTTTGTCTAATTAAAAAGGAAGGTTTTAACTTTAACATAGTAAAATCATATACAACAAAAGCAGTCATCAAGTAAGAATTACAGTTACAATGTTCAGTCCATTTGTATTTGGCAAAATTAGAGAAAATACTCTATTATCTATCTTATCTTGGTGAGTTTAAAATTTTATATCTAATTTTCCTTTTATCATAACTAGAGAAAACTATAACTATCTAGTCTTCAGCAAAGATCCCAGAAAGGGTGAGATCTTACCTAATGGCAGGTACCTCAGGCTGCCTGGACAGTCACCCAAGGTTCCTCTGTAACATTGGGGCACCCAACTCTGGCCTACAGGCCTAGCATATTTGACACACTTTCCTGTGAAGCAGGGAATTCTGAAGGACTGTCTTATCTTGTCTTGGCAAAGTTCAGCAGTCACCTTTCTTGTGTCCTGCTGGTCCAGTTTGGACAGTAACTGTCAGCAGTTGAGGCAAGGGCAGTTTCTTTGCCCACATGGCTAGGTTTTGCCATAAATAAACAAAATCTCTACAAGAGTTTCTTCGATGGCATCTTCTCTGAAGTAGCAGACATGTCTCACTGTCATGAAAAGCCTTAGGTTATTAAACTTATTAAATGCCATATTCTGAAGGTCTTTGAACTGTTTGAAGACCATATCTCTATCTAAATATATCTGTTTAACCTTGAAAACATACCTAACATGACTAACGTTTGACTATATTTAAGATTATATTATTATATATATTTGACTATATTTAAGATTATATTATATTTAAGATTAAT